AATAAATAAAATAGAGAAAATATTGAGGAATGAAAGAGGGAGATGATGAAGAGATGAAAAAAAAAATATATATATATATAAATCAAAAGAACATAAATGAGAAGGAATACCAAGAACAATAAAAACGAAAAAAGAAATAAAAATAAGCCGATAAAAGGAGACAAAGACATAAAAGAAAAGGGAAGCCGTCTATCTCCGAGGCCCTGCAATGAAGCGGCAAAATTCCCTCCTCATCTCAAGGGGGAAGATCTTGCACGATTTGCATTAATCACTCAGCAATTGTAATTCGGCGGCGCTAACGACCTCGGGCAGCGCTCGCAAATTTATTAAGCGGGAATTCGTTGCGCCGGCACCTTTCTTCTGCTGAATTATATATATATATATATATGTGTGTGTGTGTGTGTGTGTGTGTGTGTGTGTGTGTGTGTGTGTGTGTGTGTGTGTGTGTGTGTGTGTGTGTGTGTGTGTGTGTGTGTGTGTGTGTATGTATATATATAAACACACACAGGAAGACATAAGCTAATGTTACATTATCCCCATGATATATTTACATATTTTGTAATGGATTAATTGCTATCTAAACGACGATCGATGATAAAGAAAAAATGAAAATAATTATGATATTCTCAAGTGGTCTACTTTACAAACCAGTTATTTTTTTCGTTTCTAGATTTTTTTTCCCCTATTTAATAGCTGTTCTTTTGCCTTTATTTCATCGTCTCCTTTAGGCCTGTTCTCCTTCCCCCCCTTCTTCCCTTTCCCCGCCTCTCCCTATTGTGCTTCGGAATCACTAATTTCAATTTGATTTTACTGATCTACAACAGTTTCCCCTCTTCGCCTGTCAGATCACTTTCTCTCGTTGTATTTTTTATTCTGTACTTCTGCCTCGTTCACTAAATATCATCACTATACTTGCACAGATATATGTGGGTTGGGGCTGTGTGAAGATTTTTTTTTATCGTTTTTGATAATAATGATTTTTTTTTCTTGCTTAAATCTCTTTCCCTTCTGTTATTCAGTCCTTTCCCTTATTCCATCATCCCTTCCCCCTCCCATCATTATTCAACCTTTTAGATTTTTTTTTTTTTTTAATCCGTCTCTCAGACTTCACTCAGGGTTCTGGTCTATGGCGAAAGTTTTCCCTTTAGTTCTATTAACGTTCCTCTTTTGTCTTCGCCTCTCTCTCTTTCTCTCTTTCTCTCTCTCTCTCTCTCTCTCTCTCTCTCTCTCTGTCTCTCTCTCTCTACCTTCCTCTCTCTCTCTCTCTCTCTCTCTCTCTCTCTCTTTCTCCACCCCCCCCTCTCTCTCCGTCCTTCTCTTTCTCTCTCTCTCTCTTTCTCTCCCCTCTCTCTCTTTGCTTCCTTTCCTCTCTCTTCCCCATTTCAATGCATGGGACCTTTTACTGTACAATGCGAGTTTGCCTTATATAAATCAGACCCATTCACTTGCTTAACATAATTACTAGTGTATCCATACATGTATACTATACAGAGACCAAAAGTGTCCTTCTCTGATACCACATGTTTTATATGTGTTAATTCATACCTTTATATTCTTTGACGACGCGCACATAAACATTACATATAGTATTTACATATAGTATTATCTGCATTGTTTCACCCAAGTATTAGCTACAACACAACGACTGGTACACCATCACTACATTTCATTTTTATCTCTTTACACTTTTTAGCCAATTGTTGTTTCTCTTTACTAATGATTCCGCAAAGATCCACAACGTACTAAGTTATAGAAAATGAAGAAGGAAATAGGAAGAAGAAAAAAAGAAAGAAAAAAAAAGTCGCGCGAAACAAAAGAACCACAAACTAAGAAAGAAGAAAAGAATCCACGAATTCTTGTCACCGCTTCACCACTCGGCCTCGTCGGGGATACTTCCTCCTCGCTTCTCTCTCTCTCTCTCTCTTCCCCCCCTTCCTCCTCTTTTATCGCTCCTTTCCCTTTTCTTGCTCCTTCCTCTTTTCTCGTTCCTTCCTCCTCTTTTCTCGCTTCTTCCTCTTTTCTCACTTCTTCCTCTTTTCTCACTTCTTCCTCTTTTCTCACTTCTTCCTCTTTTCTCACTTCTTCCTCTTTTCTCACTTCTTCCTCTTTTCTCACTTCTTCCTCTTTTCTCGCTCCTTCCTCTTTTCTTGCTCCTTCTTCCCTCCTTCACCCTCTTTTCTTGCCCTCCTTTTTCTCGCTTTTTCCTCTTTTCTCACTCCCTCTTCCCTCCTTTCTGCTCTTTTATCGCTGACTCTTTTCTCCTTCCTCCTCTCTTCTCGCTTCTTCCTCTTTTCTCGCTCTCTTGCCC